ACAAAGAAACAAGATGATATTGAAGCTGTTAAAAAACAGTTGATTAATGTGAGTTTTGACAATAACAATTTTTATTTTGTTTATATATATATAGGAACATTCCAAACCAATTGAAACTTTGGCAGATGAAGGAGAGAAAACAAAAGGAGAATTAATGAAGGCAAAGGAACAGTTTTTTAAGGAAAAGACGAAACTGGAAAAAGTACATGAATAATCAACAATAATTTGAAATGAAAAATTTTTAAATAGAGAATCAAAGAATTAGAACAAGGAGAAACAGACAGAGTGAAAGAAATGGAAGAAGAAATTCAAATATTATCAGCTCAAGTCAATGCTTATAGTCGGGAGGTAGAGAAACAGAAAGGATTAAGGACCCAGAGTCAAGAGAAATACAAAACTGAGGTATACACATATTCTTGTAATGTAATTATGCTTTAATACAGGTTAATGAGTTAAATGAGAGACTTGCTAATGAAATAAAGACCAAGCAACAACTGGTAATATTTTGATACAGTGTGTGTGTGTGTGTGTGTGTGTGTGTGTGTGTGTGTGTGTGTGTGTGTGTGTGTGTGTGTGTGTGTGTGTGAGTTTAATTGACTTACACCATAGAATAATGAGCTGGTTGAGATGAGACAACAATTAGATAGTGTATCTAAGAAACATGAAACTGAGGTACATATATACACATTGTTTATCTTATGCATGTGTACTGAATTAAGTAATGAAATTAACTCCAAAGAATATCTGATAGTTTTGTGAATAAGATATAGTACATGTACATGTACAACTGTTCATGTGGTATGTGTTTAATCCATTAATTTCATAGACTGCTGAGTTACAAGAGAAGTCAAAACAAATAGTACAACAATTACATCAAATGGTATGCACTATGCTTGATGGTTTGTACTTTAGTTTCATTTGTCTTATACTTGTAGATTCAGGGAGCATATGAGAGACTTGAAAATGAAAGGAAGTCCAAGGAGCAACTGGTAATTATGACAGATACATGTCATGTACTCTCTTCCTTTTTGTGTATGTGTATGAAATGAATGTGTTTGATTGACTAATACTGTAGGCTAGTGAGCTGGCTGGGTTGAAACAACAGTTAGCCAATGTATCTGCTGATAAGAAAGAAGCAATATATTCCCAGCAACAACTAGTAATAATGTATATACATGTATGTGTGTTTAATTCACTGATATTGTAGGCTAGTGAGCTGGCTGGGTTGAGACACCAGTTTGATGCTGTATCAGTTAATTATGATCAATTACGGACAGCATATCATGAGGAACGAGCAGAGGTCACTAGACTAGAGGATCAGATGAAAAAAATGAAGCAAGCTAATGTGGTATGTTTATGTATTATGATGTATTATATTATTTGAGAATTACTATTTCTTTTAAAGAAACTGAAAGACAGCCTTCAGCAGCTACGAATCCCCTCGACCCCCCAGCCTATGGCTGCCCCTCAGGATCATAGTATCAGAGACTTGCAACGTGCTTCTTATCCTGTACCTATCACTATTGGTACACATCAAAACTTTGTTCCTTCTGCACCTGTCCCTGGTGGTCCTAAACAAGTAGTACAGAGTGATGGTGATGGTGTGTTAATAGTATCAAAGACTGAGGGAGTCACTCCTGCTCATCATACTGATAGTGATAGTGTCCCTGAAGATAGTCCTCCTCTAATGTCTAAAGAAGAAATGGCTAGGATGTTTAAATCACGTGATCAACAAGGCAGCAGTGATTGGACACAGTCACCTCAACAGGTTAAAGACTCGTTAGTAAAAGAACAAAGGAGACAAGAATTAGCAATGAAAGTTGATGATGCAATACTTGAAGTTGAACGTATGAGAGAATCTCAACAAAATGTAAAAAAGCAAAGTTCTGTTTCTACTAAAAAAGTACCTTCTCCTTCACAGCAAACTTCATCAAAGCAAAAAACAAAACCAAAGGTCAAGAAAAATCAAGCAAAGCAACAAGCATCTGATGATTCAGAATCAGACATTGAAGAGAATAAACTGATTGATAATATTGATGAAGAGATACAGCAAATGGCTGAAGATGTACGTAAGGGAAGCAGAGGCCCTACTACAGCTGAGAAATTAAAAGCTTATAAGTCAAGAGCTACACCTACAACTGACAATCCTCGGTTGTCAGCTTATGGTGGTGGAGCTAGAGATGAGTACGTAATGAATCAAAAAGAAACACATCATCATTCTAACCAACTTCACTCTGATGATGTTGCTGTTGCTAATGTACGACCACTAATGACAGCTGAAGATATGGCAAAACTTTTTAAACAACAGCAGGAACAGCCAGCACCTCAGCAACAGCAGCCAGCTGCATCTTATAGACCAGAGCGGCAGCCACCTCAACTAGATTATAATACTCCTCCATCATTAATACAATCAGAAGCAGACACTGATAAGTTACTGAAAGAGTTAGATCAGTCGAGAAAGACATACGCAGCAACTCCTCGTAATCCTTCTCCAGTTCTCCCTAGACTTCAATCTCCTTTGCCTGAGCTTGATTCACCTCAAGAGCTACCAGAAGATGATAAAGACAACAATGATGACAAAGGCAGGCCTTTAGATCCTAACCTCATCTGCCCTAAGTGCGGTAAACAGTATCGTGTAGGTCAAATTCAAAAACTAAGAAGACACATGAATGCTCCATGTTCTAATGAGGATTCAGATGAGTCTGATGAAGAGACTGATAAAGATGAGGAGGAAATACGGCAAATGGCTGAACAGCGTCGCAAAGAAATGCAAGGCCCAAGTACAGCTGAGGTTCTGTTTAATGACGACAATAGTTCATTGCCTTACGACCCGAATCTTGTATGCCCAAAGTGCGGAAAGCAATATCGAGTAGGAGAGATCCAAAAGTTAAGAAGACATCTCAACGAGTTTTGCACAGGAATAAGATAAAGATTTTTGTAATTTTTAGAATACTCATTTTTCAACATTGATTTTTTAGAATGCTATAAAATACCATATTATTCTAATTAATTATTCGCAGTTAGTTTATAATTACCGGTAATTATAAATTTGAATATTATCCGGATAATATGCAATGACAGCAATTATGTTGGCTGTTGGCCATGGCAAATTCCTAAGGAAGTGGATATTGGTCCGGCAGCCGGACGCCTACTGCGGGGCTATTGGTCCGGCAGTCCCTATATAGTATACTGGGGCTTCGCCCCAGTATACTAATACACGATTTTATATACAGATATCAAGTATAAATACGACAATCAGCAACATTGTTGCAGCATAGATACAGTATACAGGGATGGAAACACCCGGATAATTAATGG